ATGATGAATAATAATACTGATAGGTTCTGGCCCTAGCATTAATTGCTGAATTATTACGGTGGTCATCTAAAATGGCTGAAGCCCTTAAAACAACAGCTCATCTTCTCAGAGACCACCTCCCTGCTTCTTCTCCAACTCAGCCCAGGGTGCAATTACCTTTCACCTTTCCGGCCACCTCAGGGAAGGCCCCAGTCAGCTCCTCAGATATTTCTAGTCATTCCCTCAAACTCCACCCCTAACAAAAGTCCATGAAAGCCTCATCTTTCTTTGTCTATGCCGGAAGATCTACCTGAACTATCTGCCCTTGATCTTCTCTGTCTTTGGAGTTAATAAAGGCTTCTTTTATTGCACCTCTGAAAAACTTATCACATAGAAAGTGTAAATACTGCCCCTACCAAATGACAACAACTAAAAGTTCTTTTGAGCACTATAGCCCTACCCAAGACTCTCTCTGGAGCACCTTCACACATTGTCATTCTTGTGTGATCTTCATTCCGCTCTGTGAAGTAAGTCCTGTTATCCTTCAGTTTCATAGATGAAAAAGACTTGAAAGTAACCAACAAACCTGACTGTGGCCTAATGGATGGTGAGAGGAGGCCCCAGGCCTGAATGTTGGATCAGGAGTGGGTACTTCTTGGAGAAACACTGGCCACCCATGTCTGCAAGAACAGTAGAACTTTGTTTAAACCAGAAAATGCAGAGTTTGGGAGAATCCTTCTGTCTAATCTGCTTCCCCACTGCTTCCTCCTTGGGTTCCCCTGACTCTGTACTGAAGGTTGGAATTGCCCTTGGGTCATTATGTCAAGTGCATAATTCTATCAGGCAGTGTGCAGTGAGGGGAAAAATTTATTGGCATGTACAGACCCAACAGCTGTGTCTCAGTTAACAATTTGTTTAAAACAACCACAGTAAGTAAAAACAGTAAAGACTGTCATTCAAAAGGCACAGGATTTTATTGGATCTTTAGGTGACCAAGCAACCAGACTTCAGAGAACCTTACCAGCTGGCAGGTCTTTCATTGCCATGGATACCAAGGACATCCCTCAGATTCTACAACAGATCTTCACCTCTACAATGTTGTCCAGTGTTTAAGAAATTCCCTTTACTACCCTAATGACCCTAGGATTTTAAATGGAATAGGAATTAAGAGTATTCTGAAAAGAAGATAAATATAAGTTGAACCCATGCAGTAACTGTTAAAAAAACAAAACAAAACAAAACAAAACAAACAAACAAACAAACAAACAAAAAAGGCACAGGATCTAGCTGGCCTGGGTCACTGAATCATTATTTCTTTCATTTTAATATTTGCTATGGATGTCAGCTTTTTTCCTTAAATAGATGAAAAAGCATGAAGTAATAACTTTTAACTAGTGAAAATTATCAAAGTGGTAAGTTTTGAAATTATTTTTATACCTTACAGTGGAACAGGTATTTTTCAGAAAGCTGGTCATCTTACCCTAAGTAATAGTTCTTTCCCTGTCCCTTGCCTTTGTCTAAATTTTAGGAATTTATTTTTCTGTTTCTCTGTTCAAAATCAAAGCATCTCAGATTCATCATTGGAAATTTGAGTTAAATTACAGGAAAAAATACAGAAGTATATTTTACAGAACAAAAATTCTGAGATGTACCAAATTTAACTACAATGGAGAGGAGCTATAAGGGAAACTAATCATTGAACAGCTGTCTCAGTTACTGTTCTCTCCTTGCTGGGACAAATACCCAACACTCAAAATTAGGGAAGGAAAGGTTTATTTATCTCTGTTACTGGAGGTTTCAGTCTATACTCAGCTGGCTCCAAGGCACAGTGGCACATGGCAGAGAGTAACCTTTCATGGCAGCGGCAAAGAGCAGAGCAAAGGGAGTGGTGGCAGCCCAGGCAGCTAGCTAGCCTCTCTCCCCTCCTTACATTGTAATGCAAATTACCTGCCCCACGGCAGGTGCAGCATCCACACCGACAACAATCACAAACTCCAGAAGCCGTCCCATGACTGCATGAGGCTACACAGGGACACCTAGATACAAACCATGACAACAGCCATGGAGAAAACCAGCACAAGACTTCCACATTTCTATGTGTTGAAACACTGACCTGTAACTCCAGGCAGTCAAACGCCAGGTACCTCCATGCTGGGTTTATGACACTGGCTAGATTATTCATCCCTATCAATCTATAAGGAACAAAGACTCCTTGCAAGCTGGCTTCTTATGGACTGCCCTTGTCTTTGTATTATCACGCCCCTCTGATATATACCAAATGCAGGCTCAATGTGAACAGTTTGAGCTTTCCTTCACAAATTTTTATTATGAAAATGCTCTTGGCTCTTAGACTATGCAGACATACTCTAAGCTGCTCCCTAGCCCTGTTGCTGATGGTTGTGGAACTTGTCCCAGAACCTGGTCCTGCTCTGGATGGCATCTGTAATGGTTCAGTAAATACTTCTGTTTCAGAAATTGTCATCTCAACATTTCCACTTACTGCTGTGATAGAAATGTAGCTTCAATTAGAAAAACTTGTATAACTGAGGTGCTCTCTTTCTCTCCCTTGCTCTCTCTCCCTCTCTCCCTCTCTCCCTCTCTCTCTCTCTCTCTCTCTCTCTCTCATATACATATATATGAATATATGTATATGAATACATATATTCATATACATGAATATATGTATATTCATGCATTGTTTGCAGATGAGGACATGGTCTGAGGGATACATCCTTAGGTGGCTTTGTCATTGTAGAGCATCATAGAATATACTACTCACACAGATTAAGATGGCTGTGCTATCACTAAGAATCTTTCAGCCCCCATATGATCTTGTTGGATGGCCACTGTACACCTGCTCCATCATTGACTGAAACATCCTTATGCACTCCATGGCCTGACTATACACACCTACTCATATGCACACAAAAGCCACCCACACATATATAATGTGCGTGCATGCATGTGTGTGTGTGTGTGTGTGTGTGTGTGTGTTGTTCTTTGATTGGGAAAGTTTGTATTACTTGACGAGCCACTTGATGAAGGTACAATTCTCCTTTCGCTCCATACAATCGCATTCCTGTCTACAATGCTAAACTGGCTTTTTTGATCCCTGCTGAATAATGCCTAGAGATGCCACCTGTAATTTCAAAGATGCACTGTTTCCCTGTTCCTTGTGGTATTTCCCTTTTGGAAGGAACAACTCTACCTCCTCTTTTTTTCCCTCCATACGGTGTAACACGTGTGCAACGAAGATGAAGCTGGGCCAGCATCCTTTTCTTCTTACATGTATAAGCACAGCAAATGGATCTCCTTTCCCACGTACCTGCTCTGTAACCTCCCCATGGTTGGCCCTGAGACAGGAGGATGATCTAGCAGATGGGGGCCCCGACATTGCCATTATGGGGCTTGAGTCATCCCTGCCGATTTACAGGTCACTTGGTTCTGCTAAGCTCCCCAGTTGCCAGGACTACAAGACTTCCAAATGGGTGAAGAGTTTTGACAAATGTGTGAAGCCCATTTCTACAAACAAAGTCACTTATTTTTGGCTGAAACATTGGCAGCAACATGTAAATAATTTATCTAGAATGTGTCAAATTGAATGCTTTCATTAAATCCTTCTGGATTTCTTTGGTTGAACATTTATAAGCTAAAAGCCTTGTTATCTTAAATTTCTCAAGTAGCTCTGCCATTACTACTAACAAGATGTATGGACTCAGTGTTCCCAAAGCAGTCTCAGGAATCACAGCCTGTCCAGGAGAAATATCCTAGGTCATTACTGAAGTGAATCAGGACTGTAAGTGTTCTTTACTGTGTTTTGGGAGAGAGAAGGGATTTTTGTTGGGTCCAGATGCTACTAAACAGTGTCCATTATATTATAAGCCAAAAACCTGGAGACGTAATCAGTCCCACTCCAAAAATAATGGACTGCATTTCCTGGAAGTATTGTTTGCTGAAAATCATACTTAAAAGTATAATCCTAGATCAGGTGTGGTAACGCATGCCTATAATTCCAGGAGGCTGAGGCAGGAGCATTGCAAATTTAAAGCCACCCTAGCAAGGACACCCTAGCAAGACCCTGTCTCAAAATAAAATAAAAAGGGTTATTAATATAGTTCAGTGATAGAGCACTTGGGTAGGATGTGCTAGGCCCAGGGTTCGGCCCCCAGTCTTGCAAAAAAGAAAAATAAAAGAAGGAATCCTTTCAGTTAGATTGGCATTGTTCTTGAGGGGAAAGGAGGACCAACCCAAAGTTTGTGCTTGGCCTTGGCCTTTAGTGGCATTTTCTCCCCTCAGGGGCTGGCCAGCACCTAGCGAAGAGAAGCCATTCTTGAGAATTGAAGCTTCAGGGGGTGCAGGGAAGAGGGAGGTGCGGGGCAGCCTTGCCTGGAGAGCCCTGGTTCTACTGAGCAGCCTGTCAGCCTAGAGGAAGTCCTGAGACAAGCTGCCCCCTCACTCCACAGACTTTTGTTTGCCTCCAAGTGATTTCTGACATATTTAAAAGTAGAAATACAACCTTTTTCTTCAACAATCTTTCTCCCTGCACTTTAATTCATTAGTGCCTCTGGGTTATGCAGATGAGTGGGTTTCATCTGGGCAGATCTGTGTATGGGCGAACACACTCTGATCACGTGCCCTCGTCCCATCTCTTGCCCCACCTTTCCCCATTTCCCACTTGGGGGATTTCGATGTGTATGATGTATTTGGGTCACATCTGTTTCCCCTTCTGTAGGAATCTTCATAAATGTCCCTGCAGGGTCCAGGATATTTTGACCATGTATCAGCGCTGTCCAGGTCTCAGGACTGGCTGCACTCCGTGGCCCCTCTCCCAGTGCAGTGACCTGTCCGCCAGAAGGGCCCCTGCCAGAGCATATTGTGCTGGGCTGTCACGGGTGGCAGAAACTGCTGGCCTCTCTTTCCATGACCAGCAGGACACATTTGCACCTCCAGCACTTTCCGCACAAAAGCGTGCACGGTAGCAACACCCGAGTGCGGTCCCAGAGCTGTTTGCTACGCTGCTTTGAAATTCATCTTTCTCTTTGGCCTCTGGAAGTCCAGCGAGAGACCTGAACTCTCCTGCTGTCCATGTTTGGTAAGCAAACTGTTAAAGTTTTCAAAATTCCTCATTTGTACTCTATCTTAGAAATAAAATAGATATGAACAAAAACCAGCACTTGCTTCTCGGAGCTATATATATCAGGGAAAATGCTTTTATTCATAGCTCATATTAGTTATAAGTTGCCACCTAGAAAATTTATTCAGTTAAGAAATTAACACTGGAAAAATAACATGTTAAAGGAGGACAAATTATTTCCACCGTTGTTCCCAGGTTGAATGGCAACACAGATAATTTGGTCATAACATATCTTTAACCTTTTTTGGTACATGATTAATCTGTTGAGTCTTTGATTATAGCTGGATAAATGTTTCTCTCAAAATAATTGGTTTTGAGCATTAATAATAGGCCTCTGCCTATTGATGACAACTGCTATGACTTTTTTCATGTGCAGTAAAGCCTTTATAGTGAATTACACAATTAACTTTCTACAGTTGAAATAAGTGCAGTATAAATGGATTTAGAGGAATCCAGTTGGAATTAAGTCAATTAAATACATTGACTTTTGCCAGTTTATGGCCATATTTTTATTATTTAATTTTTTTTTGGCCTAGCATGTGGTAATGTTGGGTGAATTGAATGACACTGAAAATACCAGAAATGAGGAGAAACAGATTAAAACTATGAACAGTAGGAGCATGAAAGGAGAGTCAAGTGCTTTAGGTAAGTCTCTGGTTTGACATAATTCTAGAAAGCTCTACTTGAGAAAGGGGGCACGCTTACCCCTGTGGGGGCTACACTGCTACATTTACAGCCTCTGAAATTGCACAGTTCCTCTGTACACAGAGGCTTTTATTAAGCCAAATGAAGGTTAAAAACATAAGCAACCAAATATTTGTCGTTTTTATGTACCAGTGTTCTAGAAAAATCTCAATAGATTTTGCTAATTTAAATGCCAGCAGACAATTAGCTGTGTTTTCCCATCTTTCTCTTCCAGACTTTGGGCACATCCTAATTTTCCTTAATTATACTTAGAAAGTGTGTTGACTATTTCACATATGCAATTAGTGTTATAATTACTGCAGCAATGGATAAAACTGCTATCTCCTGTTCATAATCTTACCCTGTTCCTTGTAAATTAGGGAGTTCGAAGTGTAGGACCATTTATGGATGAAGATCAAGTTTGGATTCTCAGAAGCCTGAATGCCAGGGAGGGCACCTTGCCCCACATTAAGTGTTCATGGTTTTTGCCTTGCTGTCTAATTGAGAAGAACATTAGTACACCAGGAACTCATCCCAAATGGGAATATTTTCATAGCACTTTTGAAAGTTATGTGGATAAGGCTCTTAGGAAATTTGTTACAGCCTTTAGCTCCAAAGCTTCATTCAAATTTTCCCCGGGGGTTCTTCTGTCAGAAGCCACTATGAGCCAGAAAATGAAGCTCTCCTGTTTCAGGAGGTGGGGGAGGGATGAATTGTCTTTTTATTTATTTTTTTAATTTTTTGAATAAGCATTTACTTAGAAGATTTTACACAAGCATGCTTACATTAAAAAGATATTAACATTATAAAGCCCAAGACTTATTTATATTAAAAAAGCATAAGATTTATTTGTATATATTTTTCAGGTTCATTTATCAAGTTAATTATCAAGTCATTATCGAGTTAATTATCATAAACACAGGTTAGTTACGAACAGGCAAACAAACAAACAAAAAACACTATAAAACATATGAAACAATTAGACTAAATCAAAGTACACTTTTCAGATAATTGTCCATGCCAGACTAAAACAACATTTTTTTTTGTCTTTTTCATTGTCTCTCTTTTATTTTGCATTTGATATACTTTTGTAACAGGCAAGTGGGCCAAAATAGTCCAGGTTGTATACAGCAAGGAAAGAATTGCCAACCAAAACCCTCATATTATATAGTAAGTTTATTGAAAATCATGGGACTCCAGTAGAAATGGGCAGAAGGGTGAAACTGGGGGAAGGGTCTTTGGAACTCAGGCATCCAGTATTTATAGAGTCAGACAGCCACTGGTCCTTGGCACCTACAACTGTCTCTCTCCCACCGACGTCAGCAATCTGCACAACCTCCTAAGACTGAGCCTGAATAATCATTAGGGTGGTTGTGTGTTATGGTTGAATGAATGGAAGAGAATGACCCAACTCCTTTGTTTCTAACTGTACTATTCCCTTCTGAGAGTCCTAGACCCCTAAAATCTTCAAGGGGAGTGAAAGGAGGAAGCTACTTTTGGCTGAAGGGAGACATTGACCCTATCTATGAGAGACCAAGGAATTCTTGTTCTGATTAATCTAGGAGTTCAAACAAGATGAGCCCTTCCTTCAAAGATTTTTTTAATAATCCATAGATGAGAATGTAGCTTCTGATCTTGAATTATGATCACCACACAGTAGTTTTGACAGAGGCTGTTGTATGGCCACTACTGCTAGTGAGTCTGTCTAATCTAGGAGGAAGTCAATACTCCAGGCAATTTGTCTAGGCTGTCTGTCAAGTTCTCAGCGTGGATTTTCTCTACATGATCACTTGAGGTTTGGCAATCTCTACATAAAAACACACAAACTTTTTAAACAAGGCCAAAGTATGAGTACTAGAATGTAAAGGTAGACTGGGGAAGAGGCAGTGTCAGATTCTGTTCTTAAGGAATTGGACTAGCAATTATAACCATCTGGCTCCTATTCTTGTCTACAGGCATAGCTAGAAACTGTCCAGAGTTGGTAGTGATTGGAGCTGCTTTTTATGCTTAGTCTACGTTGTTATTACTTTCATGTGCCTTTGGTCATACTCCCTTGGTAGGTGTTCAAGATCAGGTTAAAAAAACCTCTGTCAACCAATATTTCCTCCTTGCTGACTATCAAAGTGAGGTAAATTTATTCGGGCATTGCTTCTGGAATTATGCGCAGAGCCTCTCAGCTCCTCTGCCAGTGTCAGCTGCCAGGATGGATCATGGTCTTGCTGGACCATGTGGCTTTCTGTGACAGCAAGGAAGACTTTTCTTCTTTGGTGACTCTGCTTTTTCTCACACTTTGTATTGGTTATCTCGTGTTCTCTCGGGTCCAATAATCCCCTTGTTTAGGGTGTTGGGTGACTCACTGAAATTATAGAAGGAGTAAATATAACTATTATATTCACATCTGGATGTCAAGCATATTAAAATATAACATCTAGCCAGAGGACTGTTATTTTACCATTCATGGTTATCTTAGAAGTTGAATCCATATAGAATGTTAACATAAACTTTATATATAACCCATATATAAAGTTTAGCAGAGAAAACTTGAGATCAAGAGCTACACATAGCATTTCAACATGACAATCATGACTTTATCATTTGAATGTCTGTCTTAGTATAGAACAGTCTTTTTAGTCAAGTATCTCTATCTGATCACAAGACATTGAATGATACAAAGAAGGGCTGGGGGAATAGCTCAGCAGCATAAGCACCTGCCTGGCAAGCTCAATGTCTTGAGTTCAAGTCCCCAGTACCAAAAAAAGAAAAGAAATAAGCCTTTAAATGATACAAAGAAGGGGCCAGGGAGATAGCTCAGTGGAATAAGCGCTTCCCTGGCAAGCGCAAGGGCCTGAGTTCAATCCCCAGTTCTGCAAAAATAAAAATTAAAAAAATAAATGATACAAAGAAACTCTTAACCTAATTTATTATCCTTCAATAGGATGCCATTGAAAAGAAAATGAGCCTGCCTATAAACATACCTTAGAAGCTTATGTTTTGCCTTTACTTTTTGGTGTGTGACATTATCTGGACTGGTGCTTAGTGTCTCAAAATATAGTGACCCATACATAGCATTCTCCTCTCATTGCTGGAACAAATACCTGACACCCAAAATGAAGGAAGAAAGATTTGTTTAGCTCACAGTTACTGGAGGTTTCAGTCTATACTCAACTGGCTCCAAGGCAGAGAGCAACTTTTCATGGCATCAGCAAAGAAAACAGAGGGAGCTGCAGCAGCTCTGGCAGCTATCTAGCCTCTATCTCCTCCTTACATTGTAATGCAAATTACCTGCCCAGGGCAAGTGCAGCATCCACACCCACAAAAATCAAACACAAACTCCAGAAGCAGCCCCAGGACTGCATGAGGCTTTGGGGGAACAACTAGACACAAACCGTAACACATACACATCATATAAGCTTTTAAAAATTCTCATTTAGCTGGTGGTCTTATGCTGGCTGGACATGTACCTCTAATCACAAGTAGCTGGAACACAAATAAGAGAAAGGAAGATGTCTGAAAAGAAAAGATTTTCACCATAAACAACCTGGTTTTACCTCTCTGAAGATCTGCGCACCTGGAAGGCATAAATATATTTAATATTCCATAAAATAAGCAACAGTGGGGCTGGCCTGATAGCTCAGGGGACTAAAATGCCTGCTCAGGCAGAGTGCAGCAGCTGGGGTTTGATCCAGAGCCTAACGTGTTGGCCCTGCCCTTGGGACACGCTAAGACAGCTATTGACACTGGGCATGGTGGTGCATGCCTGTAATTCCAGCACTTGGAAGGCTGAAAACAGAAGAATCACTACATGTTGGATCTATGTAGTGAGACCCTGTAGACCTTGTAGATCCTGTCCTAAATACAGAAAAAAAAAAAATAATAATGAGTGTCACAACTATGTGAAAACCTTTGTCTCTTAATTTAATTTTGTACCAAGAAATCTTTTAATAGGAAAATCTTACTGTTTTATTCATAGAAAACTTTTAATGATAACCAAAGTAAACATATGATAATACATTTAGCAGTTTTGGCTGGTTGTGTCTCCTATTGGATTATGGAAATTATTGGGGGTCCCATTAGTGAATAAAGAGTGGACTAATGTATCCAGGCAGCTAGTCCTTTATTAACCAAGAAGAATCTTGTCTAGCAGTTTTCTCAAGCCTTAACCATCCCCATTTAACTATCTTAATAAAATTTTCAGATGATTAATGAGAAACAGAGCATAGCACCACATTCTTCTTTTGTTTTATGGGGAAAAACGGTAAAGCAAAATTTCATAACAAGATGATAGGAGAATAAAAATAGTTAATACATTGTATATTGTAATCTTTAAAGTCGTTACTCAGAGTGCAAGAAGCTGGGCATGGTGGCACACACCTATAATCCCAGCACTCAGGAGGCTGAGGCAGGAGGATGGTTGCCAGTTTGAGACCAGCTGTGGCTACAAAGTGAGCTCGAGCCTAGCCTGAACTGCAAAGCAAAAGCCTGCCTCAAAATGACAAAAGAAAAACCAAAACAGAGCAAAACAAAAAATCCTCGAGTATAAGATATGGGCATAAAAATTGTCTCCAATCCATGTAAGGACAAACCTTCCTTTTCAATGAACTAAGAGTCACTAATAGTCTAATTTTTTCTCTTTTCCCTTCTGTCCTTTCCCCTTTCACCCATCCTAGCTCCTTTTCCTTTTGAACAATTTATTTTCATTTCATAGTACCTATTGTACATTTTAGATGTTTTTACTCTTTCAGTTTCCCACACCAGGGAGACAATATGAAGTTTACGCACATGAGTCTGATTTATTTCCATTACAAGTATGGTCCCAGTTTTCATCTATTTACCTAGAAGTCTCCAGTTTATCCTTCTTTATGGCTGAGTAGTACTCCACTGAGTAATAATACCGCATCTTTTTATCCATTCCTTGGTTGATGGGCATTTGGTTTGTTTCCAAGATTTAGCTATTACAAATT